GGGAATACACACAAACAAAAAAAATCTTATTTATTTTTATTTTTATTTTTTTGAGACAGTCTTGCTCTGTCGCCCAGGCTGAAGTGCAGTGACATGATCTCAGCTCACTGCAGCCTCCACGTCCTGGGTTTCAGTGATTCTCCTTCCTCAGTCTCCCGAGTAGCTGGGATTACAGTTGCTCGCCACAACGCCCAGCTAATTTTTGTATTTTTAGTAGAGACGGGGTTTCACCATGTTGGCCAGGCTTGTCTCAAACTCCTGACCTCAGGTGATCCACCTGTCTTGGGATTATAGGTGTCAGCCACCACACCTGGCCGAAAAACAATTTTCCCCTAAAAGACAAAGATAATGTTGAGGAAATTACACATACACACACCCACAGTATACATATTATGTATGTAACTATACAATAGTGTATTCCTATTCTGTGTGTACAGTGTGTGTGTATAGATATGATACTAATATAAAGTAGTATACAAAGTCCCAAATTAATGTCAATATAGTAAATGTCCTGGAAATTGAGAGGAGTGAGAGATCACTGGGAGCAGGAAGATACAAGCTAAGCCAGATCAAGAAGAACAAGATTTAGATGGATGAGCAAAGTGGCAAGAAATGGCTTAGAAAAGGAAAAGATTCTGAAAAAAACGTAATAGCTAGGTTCAGGGGCAAGGAGCAGACTGGTCTGTCTGAAGTTGAGGATTAATACAGGGGAAAAGTCTAATGTAAAAAGTATTAATTACTATGTTTAATATTTTTAAATTGACATATTTAGTTTCTTAATGGTGGCTTTCTGAATATTCTAGGTGAGCACAAGAAATAAAATTAGATGTAAAGACAATTTAACATACAGGAATTAAGATCACCTCATTTACATTAGTTTTTTTATAGACTTAGTTTAGGTACATTAATATAAAAGTGGTATGAAAAATCAGAAAAGGAAAATAGAAGAAATGGAATGAACAATTATTCAAAGTCACTGGTAGGCGCTTAACAAAGGTGACATCATTCATCCCTCACAACCACCCTTAAGATGGGCAGTATTAACCTAACTTTGTAGATATGTTAAGTCTCAGGGAGGTTAGTAACTCCAATGAACATATGGCCAAGCCTGTCGGATTTCAAAACCCATGATCCTACAAAATATAACCAGGTGTTTTAAAAATGTGCTAGCTTCAAGAAAGTAAAATAAAGAACTTAGTAACCTTCCATTGTATTAAACTAAAAGTTACGTGAATGTAACTTGGCACTATAAGAGAGAAGGAGCGTAAATACTAGCTTTAAGAGGCCTCCTTAAAGATTTTAAGATTCTACAGCATGCAAAGAGAGGCTGTAAAGTCTTCTCATGTTTATAAAGACAGGGTAGGAAGGTGTCATCTTTCTAAGACAATTACATACGGTTCCACAAAAGGTATATCCCAGTCTCACAAATGTATCACTTTATTTTGGTGAAAGCAGGGTGAAAGAAAAATATGCTTAAAAATAAATTCTCCTTATACTTTTTCCAATTTAAAAAATAAAACAATTTCTCATACTGGACTTTTTGAAAATTCACCTTGTTTGAAGTCTTTTTGGAAGACACAAGTGAAAGTATATTAGTAGCAATATTACTTACAAATTAGTTTTATTTTCACATGGAAAACAGAATTAACATTCAATCAGGAGCTCACATTCATCGCAGCATTGACCTTAGCGATAGTGTCATCATCCGTTGGGAACTGGTATATCTGGACGCCATTGCTGACCAATTCACTCATGAGCTTGATCTTAAACTTCTGTAATTCAGTTTTAGAAACCGTATCTGCTTTGGCAATCACTGGTATAATGTTTACCTATTAAGAATAAAGAAAAACAAAATCTTATTGAGGATTTTTTTTTAATCCTGCAGCTGTTTTTTCACTCAAAACCGTTCATTCTTTTCCCTAAACCTAGACTGGAGGGCTGGCAAACTACGGTCCATCTCGCTGTTGATTTTTATACATAAAGATTTACAGGAACACTGCCATATCCATTTACTTGTGTACTGTCTACAGTTGCATTCACACTACAACAGCAGAGATGAGTTACTGCTGCCAGAAACCATAGGGCCCGTGAAGCCCGGTGTATTTACAGCCTGGCCCTCTGCAGAAAAGGTATGCCAACCCGGACCTAGATGGCCACTCTCCTGTATATATACACCCCTTACACGCTCATTCCTACAGATGCTGGCCACACAATCTTTTTTTTTTTTTTTTTTTTTGAGATGGAGTTTCGCTCTAATCCAGGCTGGTGTGCAGTGATGCAATCTCAACTCACTGCAACCACTGCGTTCCGGGTTCAAGCGATGCTCTTCCCTCAACCTCCCAAGTAGCTGGGATTACAGGCACCTCAATCAATGCTTTCAGAAAGCAGAACTCTTGTAAGATTAATCTTTCATTTGAGTTTAGGTTTAGAAATCTCACATTTTCTTTTCTCTCAAAATCTTGCAATTTCATCAAACACTTAAAAAGTAAAATGTGATAAAAGGTAAACTGAACTGGCTCCTTAATTCACTAAGAATTTTTATTTTTTAGTAATCTAAGCACTAAGTAACCAAGGTGATTGATCCCTCAGCAAAACTAAAAGACAGGTGAAGCTTCTCTTTCTGCCTCTTGTTTCAGGACTGACTCCAAGCCTACCTATGCCCCATTGTCACAGACTTACTTAGACAGCAGAGGAAGGAAACCGTACGTGCTAATACCAATTAAAAGTGTTCATGATGCAAAGGAATAACTTTCTCAATATTATTTAAAGTCCTATCACTGACAGAGGGGAAGAGATACGGGGCTATGAAGACCGAATAACTTGTAAATTTAGTTCTATAAGATTAATATCCCCACAAAAGACTGATAGCTCCACAAATTTGTGACTGGTGGTTCTTAAGTTTTTTAGTTTGGTTTTCATCAAAAACCTCAGGCTAATCAGTCATATGTATCAAGAGAGTAAAACCATAATGTAATTTTCAGATTAAAAGTAAAAAATTGGCTGGGCATGGTGGCTCACGCCTGTAATTCCAGCACTTTGGGAGACTGAGGCAGGTGGATCAC